ATGCCGGTTCTGCTGCACGGAGGGATAATACACTTAACGGTATATTCCAGTGGGAGTATCCCTCTCGTCCAGCAGTGCCTGATGGGAGAAATGCCCAGAATGTTAAGTCCCCCATGTAGTCCCCTACTGTATTACCCCTGCTATGTCAGTAGGGAAACCACTTGCATGGGGACTTGCATAAATACTGGAGCTGTGAATAAAAACCTCAGTTGACTCCCAGAACTGTGTTTCGTCCGGTGACTGGGGGATTTGGGATATTGCCTTACTTTTCAGCTCTTGACTTTGGATTACCTTCTGTACCAGCGGAGATTGTGGAATTTAATATTGCAGCTCCGCTACAGTGTATTTATATATATATATGCAACATTACACAATCCAGCACAGTCGCTTATTCACTAAACAATGATTTCAAATCTCACATATTGTAATAGTTTTATTTAAAAACACATCACCTAGGCAAAACATAAAGTTACATTATATGATCAGAAAAATTGATAGAAATACTAATAGAATATAATGGCGCAAAAATATAAAAACCTAAGTGTGACTGCTAAAACCAGACTGTAAAATACATAAACATGCAGCAACCCACAAGGAGCCCTGATACAATAAGTTCCCAAAATTGTACAAAAAACAGAATAGTAGGTGCGCAAGCCATTACAAATAAGAGTGTTGGATAAGTGGTAATATATATATGTCACAATATATGAATCTCCCTGAAGCACTCTAAAAGATTTTAGTAAGACAGAGATTCTAACGTTTAAAAACCACACTGTGATAAAAAGGAGAACTTAAGTGGTAAAACAACCATATATACTTGCACTCTCTTTTAGAAGCAGGTCTCTATAATCTACAATACAAAAAATGGACACGGACCTAGTGCAATATAGTAAAAAAAATTATATACTCTATAACTCTGTAAGAAATTAACTCACATTTCTGGACTATCAGGCACAGGGAGGATCAGACCCTTGAAAATGTAGGGTCCAAGTGTGGGCCCTTCAAGCGAACTCACCAACAGCTGAAATCATAGAAGTAACATCCTTTATTATTGAAAATGAATAGTGATATTAAAAAGTGAACGAAGAGATGAAATCTCACTGCACAGGAGCGAGCTGAAGTCCTGGGTATAGATCGGACACTGGACCTCCCAAACACCGGTCAAAATATACAAATGCTGGCTTTCTTTTCTCGAACAGCCAGGAGAGCGCTGTTCAGTAGTTTTGCTCCCACGAACCAGGGGAACAATCGCTATAATGAGCCAGGGGGTTCTGTTCATGCATCATTTCGTTTTTATGACTTTTTGAAATAGACCGACCGCACAGCCTAAACTCATGGAACTGTTTCTGGGCAGGAGATTCGTGTGCGGTCGGTCCAAATGGAACTTCCATAAAATTTGAAAACCCCTGAACTGATCTGGGTGATTTTTGGATATGTTGGTCACCCAGATCAGGGCTATCAGGGGATATGACATTTATGGGGATTTTATGTGTTTCGGGGTACTTTCTAAGTTTTGTGAAAAAAATTTTTTTCTGCCTGGAGATAACTGAGTTATTACTCTAGCTGACTCAATTATCTCACAGGCAAAGAGGAGGGAATTATCTGTTTGTATTGGGTACTTTGTGTATTGTCATTGGTTGTAAACTTTGTGTCCCTGTTCCCCACAAGGTCCATGTGGGAGTGCCCCTTGCATGGGAACTTGCATAAAAGCCAGTGTGGCACCCATTAAAATCATTCCTGTTGTACCCTCCATGAAGTCTAGGCTCATGTTTGGGTAACTATCTACTTGCAACAACCATACCATATTCCTGAGGCAGGAAACAACTTGGATGCTGCATTTGTCTGGAACCATTCAAATCTACACCCAAACTGGAGCTATAATCACTCAGGCTTAGCAGTTTGGAAGGAAATAGGCGAACAGGGTATCCCCTATCCCAGCATTCATAACAATGACCATATTCTCTTTCATTATTGTTATTCCTGTTTATATATCGTATAGGATTTGGTCTCCAAACTTTCCATAGCACCTGTACCCACTCATCATCCCTCTCCCCTCTTCTTTCCATAGATTTCTCCTTTCTACATGGGGTTTCTTTCTGTCTAAGTGGGATTTGTATTTGTGGAGTTCTATGCCATGGTTTTCTCTTTTCTTGAAAAGACTGAGTATGTGGCCTAAATGTTTCCCCTCTGTTCCTATATTCTCTCCCAAAATTCCTCACTTTCCCTTCCTCATAGCCCTTTTTGTCCCTTTTGTATTTCCAGTATTTGGTGTCCTTAATTTATTTTTCCATTTTGTCTAGACCTTTTCTGGTTCTATCTGATAACTCATTCAAATCTTCAGTTCCTATACATGGATGCAATTGTTCATGTATGGAATGAATTGCCTCATCTAATTTAGAAAGTACTTTCTAAGTTTTGTGAAAAATTTGTTTTTTCTGCCTGGAGATAACTGAGTTATTACTCTAGCTGACTCAATTATCTCACAGGCAGAGAGGAGGGAATTATCTGTTTGTATTGGGTACTTTGTCACTGTGTTGTCATTGGTTGTAAACTTTGTGTCCCTGTTCCCCACAAGGTCCATGTGGGGGTGCCCCTTGCATGGGAACTTGCATAAAAGCCAGTGTGGCACCCATTAAAATCATTCCTGTTGTACCCTCCATGAAGTCTAGGCTCATGTTTGGGTAACTATCTACTTGCAACAACCATACCATATTCCTGAGGCAGGAAACAACTTGGATGCTGCATTTGTCTGGAACCATTCAAATCTACACCCAAACTGGAGCTATAATCACTCAGGCTTAGCAGTTTGGAAGGAAATAGGCGAACAGGGTATCCCCTATCCCAGCATTCATAACAATGACCATATTCTCTTTCATTATTGTTATTCCTGTTTATATATTGTATAGGATTTGGTCTCCGAACTTTCCATAGCACCTGTACCCACTCATCATACCTGTCCCCTCTTCTTTCCATAGATTTCTCCTTTCTACATGGGGTTTCTTTCTGTCTAAGTGGGATTTGTATTTGTGGAGTTCTATGCCATGGTTTTCTCTTTTCTTGAAAAGACTGAGTATGTGGCCTAAATGTTTCCCCTCTGTTCCTATATTCTCTCCCAAAATTCCTCACTTTCCCTTCCTTATAGTCCTTTTTGTCCCTTTTGTATTTCCAGTATTTGGTGTCCTTAATTTATTTTTCCATTTTGTCTAGACCTTTTCTGGTTCTATCTGATAACTCATTCAAATCCTCAGTTCCTATACATGGATGCAATTGTTCATGTATGGAATGAATTTCCTCATCTAATTTAGAAAGTGATTCCATTCTACAGGCAATCAGAATGTTCATTCACTCAACTGAAAAGTGCTCAAGGGCAGCATCCCAAATGGCTGCGTATTTCTGATTATCTTTCTCAAAAATGTTTTTGTTTTTTTAATCGCAGACCTCTAGGAGTAATGTTTTCCTTTAAATACTTTTCCATCGTTGCTATCTCCCATTTATTTTTCGTCTCTTTAATAAGCAATTTCTCCAAGTTTCTGAACACATATTCAATATTATTACTAGCCTTTTCTTTAACATTAAAAATATGTAAAAAGGATCAGCGTTAATATACTAGACCTTACAGAGATAAATATAAGGCAGCACACCTGAAAAATAGGGCTCCTTCACAGGCCCTATAGAGTAGACAAAGCAAAAAAGGTGGAGGAGGAGACAGTGCCACAGGTGAAAAAAAAAACTGATTATAAACTATACAAGCACATGTACTCTTTTTGTTTTTTTATCTTGTATGTATTTTCTCTTATGTAGTGTCTTGACATACAAGATAAAAAAAACAAAAAGAGTTTGAAATATAGATAATGAATAATAATCAGAAGTCCAAAAAGTAAGTCCAAAAGAGTCTATGCCTGATAAATATAGCAAAAAATCCAAATAAAACCTTCTAGAGGAAGTATTCCTCAGTAAGGTATGGGCATGAGATATTCGTGAGATCTGTATGAAAAAATAAAAAGACAGCAAATAATGCAGTATATCCCAACAGGTACTAAGTACTATTTTATAAAAGGTCTATATGGTCCTACTCACATTTTCCAGAGGTATAAGACTAGCTCTAGTGGGGATGACATACAGTGGTACAATCCCCACTTATGGGATATGTGAAGTTTTGTAGCAGATGGATATCCTGTTGGTATAAGGACCATATGAAATATAAAAGAAGCAATAATAGTGCTTATTAATAAGCCAGAGGTGAAATAATTAAATACCAAGTGGTTACTCACATTTTATTGAGCAGGCAGACTGCTCAATGGATAAAGCTTGAGTGGTATAATCCCCACCAAGGATTCTTTGGAGTAAAATTCTCACTGGAACAATAAAAACTCTGGTGCCAGGTAAAAATAAAGGTAAAAATAAATAAAAGAGTAAAATGGCTGACTCACAAGTTGAAAGTGGCCAAAATATCTTTAATAAAATACAGCAATTAAAATACCACAACACATTTCTCCCCTCTTTCTTAAGTGGATAAAACATGTACCTGGCTTTATATAGGCCTCAGATCACTTGATTTTGGCATCAAAATAATAATAACTTTATTATAGAACATGTTTCAGCCATATTAGGGAGGGCAATGAAACATGTGACAGCCATATTAGGGAGGGCAATGAAAGAAAGTGGAAGGAGGGAATGAATGATTAAAACATATATGTGACAAGTAGCAAGTGCAAATATGGTTATATCAGACTAGGGTTTTTTTTAGCATACATTTTAAAATATAATAGTAGAAAATTATATTAAATATAGATATAAAAAGGTCACAGTAAATTGCAGATGTCACAGAAAAATATATATGAAGATTTAAAAGACAATATGTAAATATAGGGTAAGAATAAAATAAGATTAGTATACTTGTATCACATTATAAACAAAACAGAATATGCAAATTTATCAAAAGTTAAAAAGATCAAAATCAAGAAACGTTTAGACCTTCAGGGACAAGCGTTTTTAACAGGAACACCCAATACATTTTTTTTCTGACCCAAAAGTATTTTTAAATCTTCACGGTATTTTACATTTTTGAATTCCAATACATTTTAGATGCTTGGGGTTTTTATCATTTTTGCTAAAGTTCTTTGAGGCTGAGTGGTTAGGGTAACCTTTGATGATCTTCCTACAGTGCTCTGCCAGTCTAAAGTACACTACCCCCCTATTAGCATAAAAATAGAAAGTTTAATACCTATCATAAACATGTCATATCTAAAAAATAGGACATGACCTTTAAACTATAAACATATCCAAAAGGGAATACATAAAGATCGCCGCAAGAGAACTCATCTTATGCTTGAGAAAGCCCAGAGAGGCGGGGCAAAACGCGTAGCACGCCGAACCCAGAAGTATCTGCACGTGGGAAGAGTCAGTGAGAAGCTGGGGAGCACACAGTGAGGACGTTCAGACTGTACTTTCTATCTATACCCAGGACTTCAGCTCGCTCCTTTTCAGTGAGATTTCATCTCTTCATTTATGTTTTAATATCACTGTTCATTTGAATAATAAAGGATGTTACTTCTATGATTTCGGACTCCAGCCCACCGTAGACTCCTTCAGAGAGCAGGACAGGAACAAGCTCTTACAAGAGCTTAGTAGTGATTTAGCAAGGGAGTATGACAAGCATAGCAATCCCTTGTAGAGACGGCACTCCAAATTGAGGTTGAAGTAGAACTGACTGTACTGGCACATACAGCCTCTTTTATTCACAATCCACAAACATAGTACTGCCCACAGGGTTTTGAAATACAACCAATCAATCCGTACAATACACACAGACACTCCCACACAAAATCCTCCCCTCTGCCTGTGATATGATTACTGAACACAATGGTTAATATAATTATCACAGGCAGAGAAATACAGTATTATAAAACATATCACAGGGACCCCAAAACATGCAATAACCCCATAAAAAGTATATCCTCGGAACCGGGGGATCTGGGTGAACCACATATCCAAAATTCACCCAGATCCATTCAGTAGTTTGGAAGATACAGTTTAATGCAGATTCCACAGAACATATACAGGCTATATGAAAAATAATTACTGTATAATGTGTCCCCTGTTGTATAGTTTAAAACTACTGCACGATGTCTTTGTGCACCAAATACCGGCGAGATGGCACCGTGTAGAAAAGTCCAAACAGTGTCTGTGAGTTAAAATGGCCGCCATCCATTGTTCTCACCATGTGCTTCATCCATTGTTCTCACCATGTGCCTCTGATACATGAAATGGTGGCTACCCAGTAACTCCACAGTATGGGGCTTATCATCTCCCCTTGGTGGGCTAGGCTGCCGCTGGGGAGGGAGAACGAGACTCTCCCCTCCGGGTAGAATACTATGCCACTGGTGAGCAGGGCCGACTGTCCGTACTCCCTGTAGCTTGGGCGCAGAGACCACGTCCCATCTGCGCTGGTGGGGGGCTTAGTGTCTCCCCTTGGTGGGCTACGCTGCTGCTGGGGAGAGGGGGTGTGGCAAAACTAGCCACCACAGACTATCTATGTATAAAGATGTGTGTATTGTTGCTAAGCCATAGAAACCAATGCTATTTGTATTCCAGGCGAATGAGGGTATTCGTATGCTGGCGGTATGAAAACCCCAGCCTTTCTAATGAAGTTTCACGAACAGTGAGTTAAACACTGTTCGTGAAACAAATAACCTACCGAACGCACGACCACACACAGGGGGCACCCATTAACCAATGTTGCAATCGGTAATTAAGAGTGTTTCTAGGTGGCCGTCGTACGAATACCAACCACGCGGCGGTCGGCCATCTTGTTTCTTTTGTTAGCCGAGCGGTGTTTTGTTGTCGAGCGCCTGGAACTAAAAACGGCTACTCGACGGCGCGAACACCGCTGGACTTCCAGGCCGTTCGGGAACCTCGGCCGTTCGGTAGTTTATTCCCCTTACGATAATCGGTATTTTTAAACCTATGTTGGAAATTATGTGTATTTCGTACGGCGTTCGGTTAGTTAGACTGGGAGCTGAGCGGTATTCTCACGAACGATGCACTCAGCCTCCAGCTATCTACCGAACGTCCGTTCTTGTAAAACCAGTGAATATTGTTACAGTTATGTATTTTAATGTAAAAAGTGAGTTCTGCTGCACGAAGGGATATTCCCATTAACGGTATATTCCAGTGGGAGTATCCCTCTCGTCCAAAATTGTCTGTGTTGGTCAGTTCCACATGTAGTCCCCTACTGTACAACCCCTGAAATGTCAGTAGGGAAACCCCTTGCATGGGGAATCCCATAAATACCGTGACCTGAAAATAAACCTCAGTTGACCTCCAAGCTATGTGTCATCTAGTTCTTGGGAGAAAGGGATTGTAACTACGCTACCTGGATTTTACCTGCTTTGTGCCTGCTTGATTCTGTCTACCAGCGGAGATACTGTGGATAATACTACTACTCCGCTACAATTGGTGGCAAGCAACGGGATTCTAACCTCACAGCAAAGCAGGGTTCGTCAGGAATTAAAACGAACGGAAGGAAAGAAACAGCAATTCGTGAGCACAGCCATTCGGATGAAACCGGAGTTCGGGAGTACGTGGAAACGCACGAACAGCCAGTGAATGGAAACGAATTATGCACTTTTGAAACGCAGCACATTAAAGGAGTTACTAGAAGCGAGAGGAACAATAGCCAGCAACAAGGCAAAGGCTGTTCTAATTGAGGAGCTGATGGAAGGGGACAGAGCCGCAGCTGCTGCAGCACCTCCAATGAGGAAAGAGCAAACGGAATTTGAAATAGAATTCAAGAGCAGGATAGCTCTGTACCCAACCACCCCACCACAGGAGACTTTCGACAGGATCATGGCAGATGTACAGGAATACATCATGGCCAGACAGGGTCAAGCAAACCAGCCACCCAGAGAGGGGTCACCGGCTCCACCTAACATCATACAGGGAAAACCAAAAATTCCCTACCAGGCTTTTAAAAACTTCACGGACACAGAGGGTGATATTGATGGATATCTGCAGGACTTCGAAAGACTGTGTCAGCTGCATGAGATCAGGCCCTATGATCAAGTACCCCTGCTGGCTGGTAAATTATCTGGCCGAGCAGCGGAATCTTACAGAGCCGTGCCAGATGAGGACAGCAGAGACTACCATAAAGTAAAGCAAGCCATCCTAGCTCGGTATGCCATCACTCCAGAGGCAGCGCAAGCAACCACTAAGCAGGATATCATGCAGCTACTGCTATTGGAACAATTCTTCCGGAGATTATCCACAGAGATGCAGAACTGGGTAAGGGACCGTAAACCCTGTACCTTACAAGATGCCGCTAAACTCGCGGACGAGCACCAGGATACTAGGCGAGATCAGCGACCCCCACCTAAAGTATTTCCTCAGGCAAGCACCTACCGGCCTGCCACGGTGGACACCCCACGATCAGGGGGAGCATACAATACGTACCAACCCCGATACAATAACCGAGCACACATCCGATGCCATACCTGCAACCAACTTTGACATGTACAAAGAGATTGTCCCTGAAACAGGGCACGACCATCAGGGCCCAACCAAGGACCACCACTGGGGCCTAGAGCAGCAGTACATTGTTATCAGACCAGAGCGTTTGCACAGCCATCCACCACCGCCCAGATGGAGGAACCGCTAGGCACGCTCCACGAAGTTAACCCAGTGCAAGCGGCATCAGACAACCGCCAAAGCCATAGGCAAGTGGTCCATATAGAAGGGAAACGTATGGAAGGACTGAGGGATTCCGGGGCCACCATCACGTTGGTCCGAAACCATCTGGTTTCAAAGGAACAACTCACGGGGGATTGCATAGCGGTACGGCTGGCGGGGGGAGCCATTTACAAAGTTCCCACTGCCAAAATACATTTGAATTTGGGAGCAGGGGCAGGGCAAGTGGAGGTGGGGATGATGCAAGACTTGCCAGCGGATGTTATTTTGGGAAATGACTTGGGGGAGCTCACCTCCGCTTTTATTCCACGACCTACCACGCAGGAGGCTTATCCAGTCGTCACTCGACAACAGGCTCGCACCACGGCACCACCCACCGACTCTGAGGCTCAGGTAAGCAATGCCAACGCCAATCACACTATCCTACCCTGGGATGCCCCTTTAGAATTTGGTAGCGAGGTCGCTCTAGATCCTTCCCTGCAGGTTTATAAAGACCGAATAGACAAGAACCAGGCAGGCCTAGAAGGAGAAAAGTATGCTTGGGATAAAGGACTATTATACCGATATGCTGAGAAGATAGTGGCCGGATCAGTTCCCATTCCCATTAAACAGTTAATAGTGCCTCGGAAATACAGGCAAGAGTTAATGCGCATAACGCACGACATACCATTGTCAGGGCATTTAGGAATCAGCCGAACCAAACATCAGCTGACTCAAAATTTCTTCTGGCCAGGTATCTCCCAAGATATTAGACAATATTGCAATACCTGTGATACCTGCCAGAGGGTCGGAAAAAGGGGAGACAGATATAAAGCTAAACTGCACTCCCTACCCATATTAGAAGAACCCTTCAGTAGAGTAGCAGTGGACATAATAGGACCATTGAAAAAACCCAGTCCCTCCGGCAAGTAGTACATCTTGACTGTAGTAGATTACGCCACCAGATACCCCGAAGCAGTGGCTCTAACTAATGTACATGCTGAGACCGTGGTGGATGCCCTTATGCGAATATTTTCCCACATGGGATTGCCCCGGGAGATTATTTCGGATAGAGGTACCCAATTCACGGCAGAGGTCACTCACCAACTCTGGAAAGTATGTGGGGTAAAATCTATCCTTAATTCTCCCTACCATCCCCAGTCTAATGGTCTCTGTGAACGGTTTAACGGAACGCTGAAACAAATGATCCGGACGTTCATAGACACGCAAAAAGACTGGGAACGATTCCTACCCCATTTACTGTTCGCCTATAGAGAAGTGCCCCAAGAATCCACTGGGTTCTCTCCCCTTGAATTATTATTTGGAAGGAGAGTGAGGGGCCCCCTAGATTTAATCCGAGAACACTGGGAGGGGGGAGTAACCACTAATGGTACCCCTATCGTACCATATGTGCTGGAATTTCGGGACCGTTTGGAGGCGTTGACCCAGACCGTACGTACCAACCTCCAAGCGGCCCAGCAAAGACAGCGCAGATGGTATGATAGGGGGGCCAGGGACCGCAGCTTTCAAGTCGGGCAGAAGGTGCTGATTCTACGACCCGTACCTACTGACAAGCTGCAGGCCTCCTGGCAGGGCCCATTCAAGGTGGTAGAG